ATGGCACAGTCCGCAGAGGTGGCCTGGGGTGGCTCCATCCCGGGGTGGAACTTCAGGCCCACCGAGAGGAACTGGGCCCACTCTGGAGCAGCCGTAGGGAGCCGCGTCTACCTGGGCCCCGCTCAGCCGGCCTGGGGGACGGAGGTCTGGAACCAGCTCCCGGGGGACCCGCGCCCCTGGGTCTGACTCATAGATTCTGCTCAGAGCCGAGCAGCGGGAGGGGGCCTCAGGGTGGGCAGGAAGCCAGCGCCCCACAGAGCCCAGGGCTGGAGGCCTCTTGGGCGGCGGGTAATTAGTCCTCGGGGTAAACCGGAGCCCGGGCTGGGGACAGGAGCTCACCTGCCAGTCGTCCTCTCTGCAAGGAGCCCGTTCCTCCAGCCCCTGGTGCTGGCCGGGAGGACCCAGGGCTGAGAGCTGGAGGGGGAGGGCCGCCCCCCGCGGGGATTCGGGTGCGGGAGCCGTGGAGTGCTCCTCCCCCAGGACCGGCGGCCCCACAGACAGGGCACCAGCAGGGAGGTGGGTCACAGTGGTGCCCTGACATCTGGAAGTGGCCGGTGGCCAGGGACACAGAGCAGGACCAGCTCCTGAGGAGCCAAGAGCCGACCCAGAGCCAGGGGAGGCAGAGCTGGCTCCCGGGCTCCCTGCTGCCCCGAGTCACCTGTCAGTGCCACCAGCCCCAGTCCCCAGCCTCTCCCCCTCCAGGGCAGCCCACGCCCTCTCCCCAGACACCGGCCCCAACTGCCCACCGGCCGCTGCTTTGGGGGGAGCACAAACCCCCAGAAGAGAAGCCCTCAGGTGACGGTGGCCCTCAGGTGACGGTGGCCCTCAGGTGACGGCGGCCCTCTGGCTGCAGGTGCTCTGCCTCCTCCTGGCCCTGCACCCAGAGGCCAACCCTCCCTGCCCCGTCCAAGGCCAGCTCTCCTGGGGGCCCCTGAGCCCACACAGTGGCCCCAGAGGGGGTCCATCAGAGCCCCCACCCCATTTCTCCACTCCCTCCCACCTCATGGCGGCAGAGTCCAGGGAGGGGCTGCTGAGGGGCCCCGGGCTCCACCCTCCCCAGCTCCAACCGCTGTCCCTGACGGAGTGTGCCTCGGTGCCCTGGTTTGTTCCCCTGTGCAGGGGCTCCAGGGACGCTGGCCGAGCACCTATCGTGTGCAGAGATGGGTCTAAAGAGTTGCTAAACCCAGGGTCCGGGTCTCGGGGTGCCTTGCTGGGCCCAGGCTCAGCCCTCCTCTGGATCCGGTTCCTTCCCCTCAGCCCCCTCCTCTCTGGTCCTCTGCTCTGGGGCCTCTCCTCCCCCCCCCACTTTTCCCACCCTCGCCCCCCGACCTGAGCCGTCAATGTCCTTCGTGACAGTGACCCCGGTTTGCCTGTGCAGGTCTCCTGGCCTCCTCCTGCAGAACGCACCCATTCCCCCAGCCTGGCCCGCGTCCACCTGCCAGGTTCTGACTCTCCCCTCGTCCCCCCCAGCACCAATGTCCCAGAAACCGGACAAGCCCCCAATCAAGCCCCCAGCCAGCCCATGTCCCACTCTCCACCGCCACAGCGGGGTCCGGCTGCCCTCACCTGGAGGACTCCCTCCTGGGCCCTGGGAGGGGCCTCCTGGGGTCTCCCTGCTTGGCCGGCCGCTCCCCAGAGCCCTTCCCCACAGCACAGCAGAGGGAGCATGGCAGATGGCGAATCAAATCTCCTCGCTTCTCTGCTTCACCCGCCACGCCCCCGCCCTACTCAAAGGCAAACCCAGTCCTCCCGGGCTTGCAAGCCCTCGGTGCTTCTCCTCTCCCCAGCTCACCTCCCGCCCCGCCCTCAGTCCCTCGGCTGCTCCTGAAACACACCCGGGAAGCTCCTGCCTCGGGGCCTTTGCACCTGCTGGCCCCTCTCTGGGCTGCTCTGGGCACACACGTGCATCCTGGCCCCCCCTGCCAGCGTCTCCCCTGGTCTCTGTATTGCAACACCAGCCCCCGAGTTGGCAGCAATTGCTCCCTCCGGAGCGTTCTGGGTGGTTCATTGTCCTCATTGCCAGGTGACTCGTTCTTAGGGACAGGATGTGTCCTTCATGGTTTTGTTCATTGTGATAGTGACATATTCACAAGTGCTTTAGGCCAGTTTCTAGTAGGTTCTCAGTAAACATTTGTGGAGCCAGTGAACAGGAGTGCAGACCAGGGCTGTGAACCGCACTCGACACCAGTCAAAACAGTCTGTGCAAAATGGAAACTTGCTGTCGTCACCTTGATTGAAGGCTTTCATGGTTTCCTCCGTTTGTGGGCTAAGACTCCAGCCCGCCCGCCCGCTGACTGCGCAGCCTCCTGCTGCTCTCCCCCCCCCCCCCCATGGCTCAGCCAAAAGGGCTCTGAGCCTGGCCCTTACCAGGACCCTCTGCCTTAGGGCCTTTGCACATGCTGTGACCCCACCCCCGCCCGCCACGCTGTACCCAGTCCTCGCAGCTCAGCCAGAGGGTCACTGTGGCCCAGGCCTGGTGCTTATTGGTAGGACGCCGTTTTGGGCGGCTCCTGCCTGCTGGGCGGTCCTGGAGCGGTGTCTGTCTTTCCCGGAGCTGTCAGTCAGCGGAGGTGCACCCGCCTGGGTTCCCCGAGTGCCCAGGAGGTGGGGCTTGGCACAGACCTGCGGAGTCCAGGACAGCTGGTGCGCGGAGGGTGCCCATGGGCGCTGACCATGACCTTGACCTCACCCGCGAGGGTTTCCTGGCCTTCTCGCTGTCCAGGGTCGGTCCCGGGTCATCCTGTCACTGGGGGCCTTGGGGACAGCATCTGTCTGTGGGCCTTGTCCTCCCTGGCACCTGGGAGCTAGTTTGTCATCAGATAGGCTCTGGAGGACCGAGATGACGATGACCGTGACAAAGGCCACACTGACGATGGTGACGACATCTCAGACGGAGCCCAGGACCCTGGGGCTGGGCGGAGGGTGGGAGGGCAGGGGTCGGAGGAGGTCACGCTGCTGGCTCTCCGGGCAGGGTACCGGGCGGAGGTGACGGTCAGCCAGGTGTTCTCGGGCAGCTTCCGCGTGCTCAATCGCCACTTCTCCCAGGACCTCGCCCGCAGGGAGTCCAGCGTCTTCCGCAGTGAGACCGCCAGAGCCCAGAGGATGGTAGGGAGGGCCGCGGGGGCTGTGGGCGCGGGCGGAGGGGCCTGGCCAGCTGGCGGATCACCCAGGGCACAGCCCCGGCCTGTGAGGGACCCGCTGCAGACGGGCGAGTTAGTGGCTCCCGGGTCCAGTGCCCGAGGACTGGACCCTGACCGGGCCTCTTCCCGGGGTCGGTGGCTCCCACTGCCCCTGCCCAGCAGGGCCGTGGAGTGTGCCTGCCTCAGCCAGGGCAGCTGGACGGGACGAGGGGGTCCCAGCTTCCTTGGCCTGGTGGGGACAGTCCCCAGGCTGCTCACACCATGTCCTGTCACCGCTGGCGGGAGGGCCCAGGAGCCGAGGGGGCTTTTCAGTGTGGAGGGGTGGCTTGCAGGGGGGCAGAAGGTCCCTCGGGGCAGGTGGGGTGACAGCCGGGCGCGGGGAGGGCAGCAGGTGGAGCGAGGTGAGGTGGTGCCCGGGCAGGGCCCTGGCCGCTGTGTGACCACAGCAGAGTCCCTCCCGGAGGCCCCCGAGGGAGCAGGGCTGGGACGGGAAGGGGCCCCCAGGCCTGCACCGCGGGGTGCCCAGGCTGTGTCTCCCGCAGCTGGCGGAGCTCATCACCAGCACCCAGCTGGGCGCCTACTACAACGCCAGCTCCGTCTACTCCTTCGGGTGAGTGGCCCCCGCCCGCGGCCCCTGCCGGGACCTCAGACCCAGAGAGTGGGCAGGAGCACCCCGGGTTTCTCATGCTCTTCATGGGGACACCAAGGCCCCCTGCTCGCGACCCCAGCCCTGCCCACCTGGCCCCGTCCCGGGCTGCTGCCTGACCTGGTCTGTGCCGTGCAGCTCAGCCCCCGCCCCGTGTCCTCGCCTGCCAGGGGTGGTGGCCGAGGACCGCCCTCACTGGCAGGTAGGTGGCTCCCAGGCGAGATCGGGAGCCAGGCCCGGGAGGTAGCGGGCGCTCCGGGTCCCTGGGCCAGACCCGCCTCTCACGCCCGCCTCTCCTAGGGAGGGACCCCTCACCTGCTTCTTCTGGTTCATCCTCCAAGTCCCCGAGCGCCGCCGGCCGTCCCTGAGCCCCGAGGTGGTGCGGGCGCTGCTGGTGGAGGAGCTGCTCTCCAACGGCTCGGCGCTGGCCCCCTACAGGGCGGAGTACGAGGTGGACCCCGAGGGCCTGGTCATCCTGGGTCAGTAGGGCACGGGAGACGGGGGGCCAGGTGGGGCCCCCCGGGGACCGGGGAGCCAGGACAGCGGGCGGGTGGGGCACTGGGGACACTCAGCAGAGGCCGTCCCCAGGCTGGTCCTGAACCCGCCGCGCTCTGCTTCACTCCCGCTGCTGACTGTCCATTTCCTTTAACAGAAGCCAGCGTGAAAGACGTGGGCGCCCTGAACGCCACGCTCGGTACGGCCTCTGCCCGGCGGTCCCTCCCGCTCTCCCGGGGACTCGGTTTTTCTTGGTCCAGTGCTGGGCACATGGCTTCCCTCGTGGGTGCAGGCAGCCCTGGCCTGGCCACCCAGGGTGCCATGAGGGGAGGGAGGGCCCCAGCGTGGCCTGTGGGGAGGGGGCTCCAGCCGTGTGGACAGTGCCACAGCTGCCCGCAGGGGGCACACAGTGCGTGACTCTGCTTCTCTGTCGTGGAGTTGGACTCACGGGCCGTGGTCCTGGGAGGTGGCTGTGCCAGGGCAGGGGCGTGGGGTTAAACTTGGTCTTCTGGAGGCAACGGTTCTGCTGGGTCACCCTCCCCTCCCGTCCGGCCTGGTGCTGCGATGTCACAGTCGCCTGTCTCTCTCCCCCAGTCCTCCTGCCCAGTCTTGAGAAGCCCCCGTGCCAGCTGGGCCACCCGGTTGCACAGGGCTGGGGCGCTGTCCACACTGTTGTCCGTGGACTGGTTGCTCCTGGGGTCGTGCAATGCACTACCTGGGCCACCGTACCTGATGGTCCCGAGCACAAACCCCTGAATTCTCAGATTCCTCCTCCACTGCCCAGAGTTTCCACCAGCCCGGACGTCGAGGTGCGCGCCTCAGCCCCTTCTCAGAGAGGGAGCAGAGCTGAAATCCCAGTCACACCTTTCCTGACCCTCCCTTGTCCTGCTGCTCAGCGCGCTTAGTAGGTGGGCTGGAGGCCAAGCACGATTTTCAAAAAGTTTAAATGATGATTCTCATACAGAGACACAGTGAGCATGCATCTCATTAATAAGGCTCATGAGTAAGGGATCAAGAATACAGTGATCTGTCATCCATCTCTCCCTCCCTCCCTCCATCACCTCTCTGTCCCTATCTCTCTGTTTACCCACCTCTCTCTCTCTACCTACCTGCCTGCCATCATCTGTGAAAAGCTGGGATTCTGGCCCGGGGTCACCAGGTTAGACAAGCCGGTTGCCGTCCACCAGGCAGTAGAACGGTCACCTCTGGGTCGAGTGCTTTGGCGGAACCCAGACCATTGGCAGCCTGTCAGTCTTCCAGGGTCGCCCTGCAACCTCAGGGGGGCTGGGCCTGGGTCCTCACAGTCCTGGGAGGTCGGGGCCACCCTCCCGGCACACGCTGGTGGACAGGGGTGGGCGAGCCCCACCTGCTCACCCCCTCGGCCTGCTGCCGCCTGGAGTGTGGCCCGTGGGTGGGGAACTTGCCTCTTCCCTTGTCCTGGAAGTACCCGTGTGCAGCCTCTCGCTCGCCCACTCTCTGGCCTCCACGGTCCCCCAGGGCCACGCCGGCCTTTGCTCTCGAGACTCCTTGAGGCTTTTAGAAATGACTGGGGACTGCAAAGGGCTTTCATTTACACGGGTGGTGGGTGACAGATTGTTAAAATGGTCTGTCGCTTCATCTTAAATGTATTGTGATACAAAATAAGCCATTGATCTCAACTGAGTACTTTTTATAGAAGATAACTGTTTTCCCCCAAGTGACTGTAACTGGGACAGTGACCCGGGGGACTCTGGTGGCCTCCCGGTGTCCACTCGGGGAAGGCTGCCGGGTGTTCGCGCGGGATGCTCCACTGTGATGTTCCGGACCCCGTGACCCTGGCGGCCTCCACGGCAGAGGACCCCAGCAACCCCTTCCCCTCGTGTTATTCCAAAAAGGGCTTTGACCTGACCCCAGAGGGACCCAGGGCTCCACCTCAGAAGCTCTGCTCTAGCGTGCTCTCGGGCGACTCTCCGTCCTTTTGCTGTATTTCTGTGTTTGGTGACTTGATCTCTGGTCAGGGAAAGGATGCTTTTACAGCTCCACGCCAGTGGTTCTCAAACTCTGGGCTCTCTGGAACCCCCGCGGGCCCTCCTGGGTGGCGCCCACAGGTCTTGTCCGCAGCTCAGGAAGGTGTGTCACAATGAGCGGCCCCGGGGTGCTGATGCTCATGGGGGGGCCCTGCACCCCGAGATACACTGGTGACCGTGCCAACCTAGAAGCAGGAGGACGGCCCGAGGCGGCTCGTCCCCCGGGGGCTCGGGCGCACGCAGCCTGTGGTCTAGAAGAAACCTCTCTCTACAGGGCGTCAGAGAGACCTTGGCCTTCTCAGGGTCCGGCTTTCGCAAGGGGAAACCTGAGGTTTCCGTCAGGTGTCTGTGCAAAGTGACCTCTTTTTAAGGTCACAGACAGCAAGCCCCTCTGCTGCTCCGTGCACTTGCGGTGGCCTCCAGGGTAGCTGTCTGTGGGCGTCGGCTGGGGAAAGCGGGTGGGGGGACTGGAGAGAAGAACGTTAGTGCACGACAAGGCCCACCGTCCCGGCCTGGCCCAGCCTCGAGTCTATGCCCTGGGCCCTGCGTCCCGCGTGCCCAGGTGCCCGCGTGCCAGCACACTCTGCCTGGAGCGCTCACCCTGGCACTGTACTCTGTGCTGGGTTCAGGGCACACTGAATTATTAGCCTCAAATTAAAATGAATTATTAAAACAGCAAGAGCAAAGCATCGGGTGGGAGCAGGACTTAAGGGCACAGTGTCCAGGATCCGCCAGGGGCCTTGCGCCAGCTGGGGAGGCAGAGGGCCGAGGCCTGCTGCTCCCCCAGGCTGATACCCCAGCTCTTTGTCTGGGGAGGTCAGAGGTGGCAGGGGTGGGGGACAGTGAGCTGAGCCACCGGCTGCAGCCTCAGAGCAGAGCACTGGCCTCTGTTCCCCCCTGAGTCCTCAGGGCCGCCAGGGAAGGAGGCGTGACAGGGATTATGATTGGGTCCTTTTACCAGGACACAGTGGCTAAGCCACTGGCCCAGAGTCACCAGGGTTCATTCCTCAGTCCCTCCACTTCCTGGCAGAGCCCCCAGCTCCCTGCCTGTGAGGCTCATGGAGGTTTAAATGACATAGTGTGTGCCCCGTGGGGGACGATGGCGGAGCCCGCGTGGTGCCCAGTAGCCACTGGATGATGGCGGGAGGAGGTGCCAGGTCCCGCTCCGCCGGCTCTGGAGTCACAGCGGAGCTGGTGGATGAAATGTCAGACAAGAGGCCCTGGGGTGGGCGTGGGCCCGGGAAGTCAGGGTGACGGAGGAGGAGGGGGCGTCAAGTGGGGGCACCTGAGGGCGACAGATCACAGGACTTCTCTCCACTGCCACCTCCTCCCCTCCCCCACACCCACCTGCCTTTATTGGGCACCTACTGTGTGCATGGCGCCCAACATCCTCTTGAGCCCGGGAAGTCCCTGCAGGCGGCATTGTCCTCTGTCTCCCGAGGGGGACATGGAGGCCCAGGGACTTGGGCAGTGAGCAGAGGACCCCAGACCCAAGGCTCTGTGAGCTGCTGTGGCAGGAGCTGCCCTCCCCTGGCCGGCAGCCCAGCAGGCCGCGTGAAGGACAGTGACGGGGAGGCAGTGGGGGGACTGCAGAGGGGAGCAGCAGGAGCCGGGCACAGGGACCCCCGGCCACAGGGACCCCCGGCCAGGCCCGCCCACCCAGCTCCCCCCCACCCCACGCAGCTCGGGGCCTCCCGGCTGACCGGGGCCAGGGCTCTCCCCTCTGCCCCTCCAGGTTGTTACCGCTACAGCTACGTGGGCCGGGGCCAGGCGCTGCGGCTGAAGGGGCCCGACCACCTGGCCTCCAGCTGCCTGTGGCACCTGCAGGGCCCCCAGGACCTCATGCTCAAACTGCGGCTCGAGTGGACCCTGCCCGAGTGCCGCGACAGGCTGGCCGTGTACGACGCGCCCGGGCCCCTGGAGAAGAGGCTCATCACCTCGTGAGTCCCGGGTGTGTGTGTGTGTGTGTGTGTGTGTGTGTGAGAAGGTCAAGGGTCATGCTCAGGGGGCTGTTGTGACCTTGGGAAAGCAAGACTAGACGCAGGGGTGGGGAGGAAGGAGAGGCAGTGGGCAGTCCCCTCCCCCTCCCAGAGCCTCAGTTTCCCCATCTGTAACAAAACAGTTGTTCTAGGTGACCCCTAAGGTCCACTCTGGAAGGCCACATGTCTTGTTAGAAGATTTCAGTCTGGCAGCAGCCTGGACTTCCAACACCCCCACTCTGCTGTTTCCTTGCTGTGTGCCCTAAGGCAAGTTAAGTTGCCTCTCTGAGACTCAGTTGTCTCACCTGTAAAAAGAGAGCAAACATGCTTATCTTTCAGAATGTTTATGAGAATTTAAGTCAGACATTCTGTGCCACGATCCTCACACAGCCCCAATGCACGCCAACATCACGTTCTGCAAGGTCTATTCTAGTAGTGATATTATGTTATTAGGGACTACATCCTTTACAGTCTGGAGGACCCACCTGTTACGGTCACTGAGTCCCAGACCAGTCTGGACTTTAATATTTGAGCTACTGCAAGTTCTTGAGCAGAGGTCTTAGGACATGGGCACAGCAGAGGGCAGGGCTAGTGGGCAGGGAGGAGGACTGGAAGTGGCCTTGGCCTCCAGGGGTCTGGCCACCTCCACCAGGAGAACAGAGGTGTGTGGGTGTGCGAGGCTCTGCATGAGGTGGGGACACTGGCTGGGCAGCGGGGCCACTGAGTTGTGCCAGACCCAGGCTGGGGCCGTTTCTGTGTCCTGGGCAGCGCCAGCTTCTCGGGGGAGGAGGGACCTGCTGCTCAGCTCTAGGGCGGGCCTTGGGTGAGCTGGGCGCCACCCCTCCCCAGGGCGGCTGAGTCTCCGGCTCCGAGGCTGCGCGCGCGCGCACACACACACACACACACACACACACACACACACACACACACGCCTGCAGTGGTGACCTCAATCTGGGTGTGCGTGGGCTGGTTCCTGCAGGGCTCTGGGAAGTGAGAGGAGCCAGACACCATCTGACTTGCAGGTCCAGGGTGGGGACCATCCTGGGCTTCCCCTGGGGTTCTCTGGGGGTCCCCCTCCCCCAGGCGGCTGCTGGGGAGGAGGCCTGGCTGCCGGCTCAGCCCTGTCCCCATCTGGGATCCTGGGGGAAGATCTCAGTGACCCGGGTCCTCCATCTTCCACCCCAGGGCTGAGCTGGGGGCGGGGGCGGGGGGACCTTGGCGGTGACAGAGGCGGGTGGGCCTCCTCCAGTGGGACCACAGGCTTGTTTCTGACCTTCATGGTTTATTTATAAGAGCTCCGCTGAGAGTTGGTCAGGTAGCCCCCGCGATGAAGGCTGAAGCACCGTTAGGATGAGAGACCTTGGCGTCTCTTCACCTCCTTTTATCCCACCCCACACCCAGAGAGAGGAACCTGCCAGGTGACCAGGGTGGACGGGGACAGGAGGGCAGAAAAGGCCACCAGCCAGGAAGGGGGCAGGGAGGGGCGCCTGGGACAGGAGCTGCCCTGTCCCCTGCGAGAGCCGCGGCAGGGCCAGGGGGACCTACCCCTGGGCCCTGGGCTCACTGGGCGGCCTGGGCTCATCCCTCCCGCCCCTGGCCAGCTGCAGGCTGGAGCTGCCACCCCCGGACCACGCCCCGTCTCCACGAGGCCATGTGGCTGCACACAATAGGCATGCAGTCAGTACCTTGCACACAGTAGGCATGAGCCAGTACCTGGGGGGACAACGGGAGGCAAGTGATTAGCTTCCTAGGACTTGGTCCATGGGGTAGCGAGGACTCTAGAGGCTGGTAAGCTGGGGACACCCCTGTCTGAGAGGGGCGTGACGGGGGCACCGACGTCCTGGGAAGGGCCCGCTGTCACAGCTATGCCGAGGGCCTGTCCCTGCCATCGCAGTGGGGCCTCGGTTCCCCTCTGGAAGCAGACGGTGGCCCCGGCAGCCCCCGAAGCACCGTCAGGGCTGACCTTCTGA